GCACTCAAGTTTTCATTATATGATTTTGCATATTTAAATGTCGACAAGTTGATTAGTTTTTGCACTCTAGCATTATTCGAAACAAGCTCCATGTGTAACCTCCGTCTAACTTGTTCCATAGTCTTACCTATACAATTTTGAACGGGGATAGTGTCAAAATCAGTTAAACGCACCCACACATATAGATACATACCAAAAATACTATTATTCATAAGCTTGAAGAAGTCTTTTTCAAAATCATTCAAAGCTTTTTTCCTCATCTCTGTATTTAAATTAATAAATTCAGCAAGCCAGGATGATTGGTTGAATTGTAGGACTCTATGCACCTAGAATAAAATTAATCATGTTGAAATGTTTAACATGTATAAAATAATACATACTTTATCAACTATCAGCCAGTTTTTAATAGCTTGTTGGAGACTGCGGTAATGCACGACATAATTTTTCTTTGACTCAAAAGTCGCCATAAGTTTTTTTACTTTTGAACCTGCAGGTATTCCGTTTTCGGGTAAAAATGATAGATCATTATGTTTATCATGTAGATCTACCGGGTACGTCACGTCAACCTCATACATCCGTCCTATGGGGGAGGTATCATCCAAGTTGTTAAGTCCTTCTAGCTTGGCTTCAACCCACTTAAAACCGCCAGTAGGCATGTACTGGTTGTAAACTAAGTGTTACTAAGTTTTAAAAATAAATAAATGCAATTTTTTGAAAAAAAATTTGAAAAATTATACTTACAATCTTGATATATAAGCCACGATTTCCTCAGCGTATCGTCATAATCAGGTACCTTTGGGTTATTGGCTTTAGCATAGCGCATGCTAGCCTGTACCAATCCACCGAGTATACCTATAATATAATTTATTTTTATAACATTTAAAAGCTAATTTTTTTTCTAATTTACATACCCTTTTCTATAAATAGTAGCATGTCATAGTCGGTTAGAAGTCCTAATTTTATAGATGTATACTTCAACATGGAATCGAAGCTGAAACCTGGGGCCGTATAATAAAATGCTGGATCTAAATTGTACGTTTTCATGCATAGATCGCGGAAATTTTCGAAAACGTCCGCGAGCAACAACACATCCACTTTCAGGTACAAATCAGAATAGCCACCAAGCGTTTGGTACCCAAAGTATCTCCATACCTTCATAGCATGATCATAATCCGTGTCATTTACGCCATCCTCCTTAAGCGTACTATAGAAATCTTCTTTTGATGGTAGACTAGGCTCGTCCAACTTATCCCATCCATCCGTATACTCGTATGGATATACACCCTTGCGGGTGACAAAAGGCATATCACCGGCATCGAAATATTTCGAAGTCTCTCGGAATTTCGAAAAATCTGGAGTCAAGAGGTTTTTCGCGAGACTACTCAACTGTGACGGCATAAACCTACACGTGTCTACAAACCGTATGGTAAACGTCTTACTTATATATTTAGAAAATGATATAAATTTCTCTTCGCTATTTGCAATAACCCTAATACTGTTAGCGTCATACCCTAACTCAGTCACAATGAAATGAGCATCATAATTAGACAAATTATGAAAAAAACATGGGACGAATTTTGGTTGTTTTAGTTTTAAATTACAATGGGCGCATAATGATTGCCTAAATCTACCAGTCAGGTGACAATGATCGCGAACTTTTTGAATCGTGTCGAAACTCCGTTTGCAAAAATTACAATTTTTGTTATCACTATGTATTCGCGTATCATCCTCACTCATGACTATAGGGACAATGGTCTTTAATAATTCCTCAATTTTATGGCCTACCTCAACGATATTTTCAAGAAAATGTCTGGCAACATCCTCTTGAATACTACTACCGCGGAAAACTACCGGTGTGGTTGGTATATTAAATCGCTCTATGAGCTCTAACGGTACGTCTTCGGACGCCTTGACTAAAAACGAATAACTCATGGGCTTGTGGCCTATTAAAGTCGTATGATCCCCCCTTTTGACATTAGTTTTTACTAGCAACGCTTCAAAATCGGCGTAAATAGTAAACGGATGTCGTTGAGCATGTTGCCAGTTTTCAAATTGAAGTGTTGCACCAACATCAGGCATTTTGGGTAGAACCGGCTTATGTGCTCCACAAAATAATTTATGTTCCTCGAGTGCTGCCCGCCCGCTTAATTTGTATTTTAATGACTGATCGTCGAATGACGTGAAGCAACGTTTACAGAAATATTTCGAATGACCGTGTTTAGTTATTTGTGAGCGGATCAATCGTGAAAAATTCGATATATAGACATAGTGGCTCTTTTCACCTTCAGTGTATAAAATTAAGTCAAAATGGTCGGTTTTTCATTGTCTACAACTTTTAATGGAAAGAAGTGAGGAATCGGATTTTGTGAAGATGGCTTAGATATTTTGTTACCGTAAATATTTATTGAGACTGATGGATTATTTTTTTCAAATATTTTGACTTCACTCCACGGTGTTGGGTATGATAATCCAGTGAAATTATATTTATTCTCATGTCGGTAATAATTATCACCGACACGATGTTTATTTGGGCCTGTAACGTGCTTAGCCAGAATGGCCCATTTAAAACAATGTTGATCTCTGTTCTGTGGATTGATCGTCGCCCCCCTTTTTGTAATAGAATTATGAAGCTTAATATATGACGAGCCAGCTACACTATTAAAAATATCTGAATGATTTTCACATTGATCTGTTGTTTCATTTTGTTGATCATTATTTAACGTAGTACTAGAACACGGGTTGTCATTCACGTCATCTCGCGCATTATCAGAATTAATAACAGGCAGACCAATGTTAGAAATGTTTCCCATGGGGGTGTACTTGTAAACTGTTAATAGAAGTCCGTCGATGGATTCTAACACATATCCACTACCCTTTGCCGCATAAATCTCCTCCTCGTGTAATAATTTAGCGAACGCCTGCTCTATTAATAAATCTAAATCAGAATCTTGAATGACCTATTTTGCGATGAGTTTTCTACATGTGGTTGGTTATATGTGGCTTCAAGTTTTAAATTTAATTTAATAGGATTGGCACTAACAATTATTCTCAATAATTCAACGAGTTCGGGCTTTACATTAGCGAGGAATGAAATATAATTTTCGAAATTGTTCAGATTTTTAGCGTAATACCATACGATTTTTCGACTATGTGCGGATTTAACCTCAACGAATCCCGATGTATTAGCCTTATCCATACGAGCCTTTTTTGATTTAATACGGCTTGTTGTATTTTCTACGTGTACGCGCTTATTCCCTTCAGTAGTCATATAAGAATCTACTAAAAAAAATAATAAATTTTACGCTGATAATAGAGAACAAAAAAATCTCACCTGGCGCATCGCGTGGTCTGGCATTGTCAAGCACTTCCGCGTACATTTCTTCGTTTCCGTCGTTGAAATCATCGTTCGGCACACTATTAACATACTGAGCCTGATTTGACGGACCTGCTGGTAGATCTGATCCTATAATATTTGGAGCGATCTCGATTACACCTCGTTGTGGTTGAACGCGTGCAACACCTTATAAAATAAATATTGAACTAAACAATTAAAACATAAAATTTTAATTCGACCCCAATTAACAAAATTAAACTAACCTGTATCATCTTGGTAATTTTCAGGCACTTCCGCTAACATTTCATCATTACCATCATTAAAATATTCGTGCAGCCTATTCTGAGCCTGATTTGACGGACCTGCTGCTAGGTATAGTACTACAATATTTGGGGCGACTTCAATTGCACCTCGTTGTGGTCGAGTGCGTGCAACACCTTATAAAATAAATATTGAATTAAAAATAAACATAATAGCTTAAAAATTAAATATTGAATTAAATATACATACCATGCAAATTTTTCAAATGTCTATTGAGATGCGTCTTGTAGCTGAACGTCGACTCGCAGATAGTGCATGGGAAACGAACGCCATCATGATTTTTTTGGTGCGCAGTCAAACTGCGTTTAGCTGTAAACGTAGATGGACACTGCCCTCATTTAAACATTTTTAAAATTATAAAGGGTAAATAACACAATAAAAATAAATACGACTACAAATTAAACACACTGAGTTAGGTGTGAATAATGTTGAACAGAATATAAACAGTGAAATAAAAACTCGCTAAAATATTTTAATGCCTTAGTTCGCAAACGAAAAATAAACGTGTAAAACGGTTTAAGACGATATACGTACTGAACGGATGTAGGCTCTTTAGTGCCTTTATATAAAAGACTTTTTGCAGTACGCATGCGCTTTTGCACTTTTTTGTAATCTGCACGTATAGTGTCTTGCGTCTACTGAATAGACACCAACGGGGGTATAGTTAGTTGTGATTGGTCGTACCTCGTACATAGTTAGTTGTGATTGGTCATACCTCGTACATTCACTTTATGAATTTTTTCTTGTTATACTTTTCGTGCCTTTCGTCAACTCAGTATACTCTTAGTCTTATAAATATAAACACGACTTTTATTTACCAGCAATATCTATTATTTTAATAAACATTAATACGATTTTTATTTACCACCAATATTTATTATTTTGTTCGTGATTATCACCTGGAAAACGTAAGTATTTTTTTTATTTTCACATTATTCAAGACTTACGTATAAATCGATTTTTAGATGTCTAATGATTCGTCGTCTAGTTTGTCGTGGTTTAACGGGGATAGCTATAGTTGGGGCACCGAGAGAACGCTACTGGGCGGCGACCAAAATACGTCCGTTTTCGCGCATTCCCACCACTAAACCTAGCCGAATGCTGGCCGCCGTTAATGCGAGCCACCGCCACCGACGCCGCCTACCACCACTGCTGCCGTCGTTCTGGTCACGTGTTCTTATAGTGGTGGTGTTGTATACAGCGTTATTAGCGATTTCAAGTATCTCACGTTTTGTCATACATACAATATTCACCAACTTTTTTTCTCCGCGTTTTTTTAGCATACCATTGCTTATAAGTATTTTTAGTATTGTGTATCTTACTATCTTAGAGTACTTAATACACCATGGATCTCGTCGATATATCGCCTTCCAAAAAAAATCCTCGTGGAAAAGTAAGTATTATTATTATGTTGTATTATTATTTTTCTATAGCAAAATTCTTAATTTATTAATTTTATTAATTTATTATTCTTTAGTTTGTTGGTACTGGTCAAAAGCAAATAATCATTAATCTGTACAAAGATAAGATCAAACAACAACAAGAAAACCCAGACGGCCCCAAATTGACCTACAGACAAATGCTGTTAGAAATCTCTAAATCAAGTGGTATTGGGCAACGGACGATACAAACGACATTGGCTGAATACAAAAAAAAAGGTACAGTTTCATCACCTAATAAAAAAAAATTAAGAAAATGCTGTCATAGTGATGGACAACGCCGCCTATCATTCTGTGAAAAAAGATCGTATTCCAGTGATGTCATGGAAAAAGCAAGAAATAATAAATTGGCTGGAAAGTAAGGGCGAGAACATTACTTATCCAACAACAAAAGGGGCATTATTGTCTAAAGTCAGAACAATACATACGGATGACCATGAGAAATACGTTATTGATGAGTATGCGAAAGATAACAATAAAACAGTATTAAGATTGCCCCCGTACCACTGCGAGTTGAATCCTATAGAACTAGCATGGTCGTCTGTTAAGAGGTATGTCCGTACTCACAATACTACCTTTAAATTAAAAGATGTAAAAGAATTGCTGAAAAGAGGCGTGGAACTAGTAACACCGGAAATGTGGACGAATTTCGTTGGGCACGTCATCAAGGAGGAAGAAAAATTTTGGAAAATCGACAACATAACAGACGATTTTATGGACGAAGAACCTGAAGAAGGAGCACGTCATATCCTAACAATAGGTGATACAAGTTCGGATTCTGACTCGGATTAATTTCTTTGTATTTGAATTATTTTATTTTTTTTGTATTATTTTTTAGTATTATTTAAATTTTATTTTGATCAAATATATGTCGGAATAAATAAATAAATACATTTATAAAATATTTATGTCAGTTGTCAAGAGTTATTATTTTCGTTTTACTTGAGCCGCTGTATACAGACACTTGTTGCTTCTCAACGGCGGCGGCTGTCTAATTAGTTGACGATCATTGAGTGGGGGAAATTACGGCGGCCAGTGGTCACGGAAACACGGAGCTCGTTCATTTAGATGCGCAAAGGAGTAGCGTTCTCTCGGTGCCCCAAGTATACAACAGAGTTCTTACAGCGACTCCTCCAGAAGATACTCCACCTTTTTTTATATTTCGCCAGAGAGGACATTTGTATTAGTAAGTATATATTTTTTAATATTATTATATTTAAATTAAATTATTTATAAAATGTGTATAATCTGGTTTTAGCGGGTTAATAGACCGCCATCAAGGCCCGTCACCCCAAGGCCCAATGCCCATTGCTCCAGCGTTAGATGATAGTCTACAAGATGGGCAAAGACCATGGTGGTTTAGCCCGCAACTATTACCCGTTAGCCCACCCCCGCAGCGTCACCCCTTCAGATATTCAGATATGGTAATTGTTAAATAAAAATTATGTCTTAGACTCAATATAATATAATATAATATAAAATAAACAATAATTTTTAATTTAGACTCAAGATAGCGGTTTCTTTACCGAACAACAGTTGCATAGTACATTATCACAAGTTAGACAACCTGCAACGCCTACAACACCGGGGGTATACGCGTTGAATCTTATAGAAAACATGGAATTTTCGCCTTCACCGCTGCGACAAACAGATGGACGAATGGCTTCGTTCGTTTTCATCAATACACTCTTCACCAGATATATTGCCGCTGGATGTTGTAGGCGGCGTGGTATTTTCACCTTCATCGCGACGACAATCTGAAATAAATGAATGGCACCGATCTTTGTCACCCATCTCCCCAAGTGTGATAAACATTATAGTACGGCCCCAGGTCCTCCCGGAATTTAACGTACTAATTTTCGGGAGGATATTAAATACCACTCAACCCAGTCAAAATGTAACTGATTGGGCTGAGGATGGCTATAATGATATTCTGGAACTTCACATGTTGGCACATGAAGTAGTATGGAACGATGACGTTGGTGACGAAGTGAATCAGCATATGGATACTAACGAAGGTAAATTACAGAATAACTTATTTTTTAAATATAATTTATCTTTTGTTTTATATAATATTCTTATTTACAATAAACCTAATATTATTATTTTATATTTTGTTTTTAAGACGAGGAATTGAATCGACATATGGACGAATACGAGGGCAAATGACGAAAAAACTAATTTTGTTTTATATAATAATATTTTTTTTTCTCTAATCCCACATATACTTATTGTGTATAATATGTTTAGATTGTATATTTCTTGTAAAAAAAATATTTTTACTTTGTATAATATTATAATTGTATATTTCTTGTAAAAAAATATTTTTACTTTGTATAATATTATAATTGTATATTTCTTGTAAAAAAATATTTTTACTTTGTATAATATTATGATTGTATATTTCTTGTAAAAAAATATTTTTACTTAATATAATATTATGATTGTATATTTCTTGTAAAAGGTGATATTACTATGGTTAAACCCATGATCACAAGCGTGAAGCCAAGAGGCCTTCTAGATTTGATACATAGCTAGGTGAGGTATATTTGTTGTGCGCATGCGTTAATAAAATACACCGGTTACGTAGCGGGCAGGTGAATCGACGAGTGCGTGCGCGTGCGTAAATACAATTTTTGTTTTAATATATAATTTTTTCAAAGTACAAGTAGCTATGTTGTGCGATAATAATCGCGCCCGTACGCTAAGTGCGGCGGCAGTCCATGTTGGCAGGGAAAAGGGTGGTGGGGAAAATACATGTCGCACACGTTTACGAGGTGCCGCCAGTGGTCTGCAGGGGTCCACAGGGTCTGCAGGGGTCCGCAGGGTCTGCAGGGTCTGTGTGTTCGAATCGGCTATTATATCCTACTTGTATAGGTACTATATTGCATTTAATTGCTGTATATCGGATATCGCTGTATCATTATGCACGGCGATGTTGTGTTATATTTTATGTATCTACTGTAAATATATAATAATTAATATACATTTAAGAATTTAGGTATTAAATAAATTATATATCGAAAATATTTTATGTAAATCATTATTTGAAATAATCGATCGAGTCTATATGTATGCATGAATGCTGCTTAAGTAAATATATATGTAATTGTATGTATGTATGTATGAATACTATTTAAATATATAAGAATATGTAAGGATATATACAAGTATGTGTATATGCATATATGTAGGTGACTTGTTGATGTGTCTATATAATATGTTTAGGTGTTTGAAATTTTGAATATGTATATGATTTAATGTGTGTTTGCATATCATACTATGTTTCATATGTTCATGTAACATGTAAGTAGGTGATGACTCGATAATAGTTTTAATTTACTTTATCTATACATATATAATATATGTATAATATATATATATGTATGTATATGTATAAATAATTCCCCACTGCATTTGACTAATAACAGTACAATAATAACAGTTAAAGATATTTATTTTTTCTCTTACATACCTATAATCCATGTATATGTATATTATAAGCTATGATTTCAGTCTAATCTCATACAATATTTCAATGTACCTATGTATGATTGATTAAAAATATAAGTATCTGTAATATTATTCAGGATAGGTTAGCCTAATAGTATTGTGTATATTATAAAGATACAAGAATGTATGTATGTTTCCACCTACGAGTATATGCTCATTGTAGTATGACCTTGTATAGAAAATGTATAAATGTTTAATTGATAAAGATGTTACGATAGCAGGTACTATACTCTATTTTTCGAGAGTTGACCCACTTCCGCGCATGCATACTGAGCCGACGGAACGTTCAGACCCCCCAGGCAGCAGACCGGTGGTCTGTGATTGGTCGGCGGTTTTCGGCGACCGACGGCGCTTGTCGTAGTAGGCAGCTGCCGCCGTGTACAATCGAAATCCAGCGCTCAAACGAGCGGCGGCATGCGCGGTCGCGACCGGTTTTCGTCGGGCGAGTGGGTCTACTCTCGAAAAATAGAGTATACAGTAGAGCTCTGCATGGTCCGGTCTGGACCGGTCCGGACCGGACCAGACTGGACCGTGGTCCGGTTTTAGTCGGTCTTTTTATTTAAAAATAATGAATGGTCCAGTCTTTTTTGGTCTACTTATTTAATAGAATACATGGTCCAGTATTTGCCGGTCTTTTTATTTAAAAGAACACACGGTCCAGTCTTCGTCGGTCCTTTAATTTTGGAAATTACATCGGTTCAGTTATGGTCCTATTCTCGTATCTACAATTAAACGTCGGAAGTACTAGGAAATAGAATTAGTATGATTTGTTATTATTACTTTTACTTTTCTCGGAACACAGACTTCTATACTAAACTAGATAAGGAACTCTTATACAATTTACATTGTCACAAGTGAAGCTCAGCTGTGAACGGCCGCCATTTTGTGGGTTGGCAAAACATTTCATTTATTATACAAAATGTATTAGGAATAATATTTTTTTTAACGGTCAAATAAAAAAATAAATGTAAAATGACTTATATAAAATATTTTTTTTTTTTTGTAACCTTAATGTTTAGAAATAATAAAATACGTTATAAAATAAATCATAATATTATCTTATTTGTCATATGAAATACTATACAATTGCCAACCGACCTTGAAGCTTCAATTCATGACCGGAGTTCGCTATCTAGTAATATATAGAAATCTGTGTCTCGGAATGACGGCCCCTATTTCAAATATCGTCGTTAATAGGTATTAGGTACTGTATAGCAATAATATTTGTATTTTACTATTATTATTATTATTATTATTATTTTAATTAAACTACTGAGCGACTTCTGTGACTAATGAGTACTGAGTACTACCTAGTACCTAGTATGCAATAGGTATTAACTAGGTAATTGATTATAAATTCTATAGTAATAAACTGAACGTCGCACGATGACTGTTGATATTAATTAATTTTGGGTTTACTGTCATCATTCGTAAATCGTGATAACATATTTTGTTATAAATATAATATAGGCGATAGTCATAATATAATAAACATCACCTAGCCGTCTAGTCTACTCCATATTCCCTACTTAAAATATTTAATTTTGAATTGGTACAGTAGTAAACACAATAATAAGAAATTATTAATTGAAAAATTATTTTACATTTTAATGTTTCTATTTTTCAATCATTTCTACTTTGGCTGTGTGAAGTGACAGTACTGAGTACTCACTACCTACTCTAGTACCTAGTACCTACCAGCAAATTTTAATATTACCGATTGTTATCTCCAATATTTGGTAAGTAGTATATTAAATAAAATAGTATTTATTGCGTTGTTTATATTACCTATATGGCTATATACATTAGACTAGAGATGGAGAATTTACCTAAAAAAACAGGATAAGTAGATGTCGCTCTGCTGTACATTAGGAGGTGGGATGGACCTCGGTCATAGAGTAAAACACTGTAATGTGTTTGTTAATTTTAATGCAATGATAGGTATCATTGAATACAAAAAACGATTCTGAACGGAGATGATTTGTCAGTCTAGGATATTATATTATTATATTTAAATATTGTTATTATTTTATTTTAACGCGTGAATTTTGATTTCGTTAAAAATTAAACATTCGTAAATTTTTTTTAATTGAATAATCATCAATTTTTTTTATAATTTATTATTCTACGCTCAACTTATGGACAACCTAGTAATAAATTTTCAATTCTTAGCTTTTAACCGAAAATGATTTATACATTTTTAAGTACAGAATAATTAGCAAATATTCATGATTTTGACGAATTTTGTCAATACATACATTTCAAACGTTAATAAAAAAAATGTGTGCAAATGTTTTTTTATAATTTTTGAATGACAGTAAGAACAACTCATGTAGAATCATTTATTAAATTTTCAAGTATTTTGTCCCAGCGAATTTTTTTTGACAAAATTTAAAAAAAATATATTAAAATAATCGAATATTTCAAATGCCTATAAATAGATTAAAAATTATTGAAATATGTTGAAAATAAAATTATATAATGAAAATGCCAATCTAAACAACTGGTAACATTTTCAAGGATCTATGACTTATACTTTTTGAATAATAACAAATATCGAAAATCATTTTTCGATACATCGTTATTTTACGCAATTTTGTAAAAATTTAAATTTCAGACGTTCATAAAATTTTTTTCTAAAATCACGATTGAGTTTATTTTTAAAGTACTTGAAGAAAAAGTTATGGATTACCTTGTGTTGAAGTTTTTAACCTTAGGTATGAAAAGAAAAAATTTTATGAATTTTTAACTGCCAAATTACTTGCATATTTTCGCGATTTTGGCATATTTCGTAATAATTTGAACTATTATCGCTTATAAAAAAATTGTGACAAACGATATTTGATTTTTTTTTAACTACACTAAGAACAACTCATAAATAACCTTGTATTAAATTTTCAAGATTTTTTGGAGAGCCAAATATTTTTTTTCTCATATTTCAAAAAAATAAACTTAAAAAATTCGAAAAATTAAATTGTCTATAAATAGCTCAAAATAAGTCAAAACACTTTGAAAATTTAACCCTGTATAGATAACGCTAATATAAACATTTAGTGAAAATTTCAGGTGTTTACAGTAATTAGTTATTAAGTTAGAGTAAAATTAAATTTTCGTTTTTGTCGAAAATTGGTTTTGCGTGAAATTTCCCGGTTTTTTGTTACTTTTTTAGGGTTTTTCCCGACGCTTTTAAAAAGTATTGGAAATTTTACACTTTAGTACCAACTAGATTCACTACTCTTTCAGAAACGGTGCTATTTGTGAAAATCAAAGCATTATTACTATCCCAAATCGTGATGACAGACACAAAAAAAAAACACACATCATTGTAAATCATTCCTCACTCCGTTCAGAATCTAAAAATATCAATAAATCGATATATAAATAGGTGTTGGTTATTTTCAATCGCTGATATTTTCAAACAAAATATACTATTTTTCATTTATTTCGAAATATTTTATACTATTATGTATAATAATTTATACACACATTTTTCAATTTATTTTTTCATTATTTTAGAATTGTGAATTCTCAAGAAATTTCTGAATTTTTAAATTCGAGTTTTGCAAGTTCACTTAATGATTTGTCTACTGATCAAAACAGCGTAATATGCAGTACGCCTATACCGAATGACATGATCGACGATTCTTCTGTTGTTTCGTTTCCTTCTACTTCTGGATCTACGATAAATCAATCTTTGATTCATCCATTTATGAGAAATAATTCTAAAAATGCTGTTAAACGGAAATGAACCCACGATACTGGAGAATATATTTTGGTGCCTCGTGAAGGAAAAAGTGACACGTGGAAAAAATTTCAAAATGTTATGCAAATCGTTCAAAATATCGACAACCCTGATGCTCCCGAACAAATTTTAACAGAATATGTTGCTTGTATATATTGCAAGGAACTCTACGGGAATAAATCAGCGACAGCTACACTTAATAGACACAAATGCAGTTTAGATAAAGGTTTGCAAATCTATTGATCTATTGATAAATTTATTGAAGAGAAAAGTAAAAAACAAAAAATAATATCAAAAGAATTAAAGATAAAAGCAATTGAAAAATGCGTTGAATTTTGTTGTATGGATATAAGACCAATGTCCGCAATTGAAGGTGAAGGTTTGAAGAATTTGTGTCAGTTTTTATTAGACACTGGTAGAAAGTATGGACCAATTGACATTTCGGACCTTTTGCCTCACCCGACTACCATATCAAGACACGTTGAAAAAAGTACTAAAGAAATCAGAAACAAACTTTTTAAAGATCTATTTTTTTATTATAAACAAAAAATATTGTGCTTCAACCTGTGATATGTGGACTGATAATTATCGTAAGAATAGTTACATGTCGGTAACTCTGCATTACATAGATGATAATTGGGAATTAAACTGTCTTCTACTTAAAACTGGTTTATTTCCAAGTAATGAAGTAAAAACGGGTGACAATATAAAACGTTTCATGTTGAATTTTTTTTGTGAAATATCTGATGCAGCAGATGAGCCAACATTTGATTTAATGTCAAATATAACTTTTGTTACCGACCAAGGTTCCAATATGTTAACAGCTCTCAGAAATAACAATAGACTTAACTGCTGTGCTCATTTAATTAATACTGTATTAAGAAATCTGTTTGATTCAAAATTTTTGAATCATGAAGGAGACGGTAATAAACTTTTGAATCCAGTAGTGATATTACTAAACGAATGTAAACATTTGGTAAAATTTATGAAAAGCTCGGGTAAAAATAGTGAACTTAGTCAAGGACTTGTACAAGAAGTTGAAACGAGGTGGAATACAAGGCTTTTAATGTTTCAATCAGTGAAAAGAGCACTTCCAGAAATAATTCAACTATATGGAGAACATTTCAATCGTATACAAAATATTAATACAGAATTACTGGAAAAAATTACAATTTTTTTGGAACCATTTAAAAAAGAATCTGATGAACTAGAGGGTGATAAGTATCCGACTATTCAAAAGGTTGTTTTATACCAACTGTTATTGAAAAAACATTTAAAAACATATGCTGAACTTCAAGAGGACATATTTGATGCAAATGAAGAACTTATACCCAACTCAATAATGCAAAAATTAGGAAAATGAGGTTTAGAGTTCATGGAATCTAAATTTAAGTTGGCCGAAGAACACGAGATTGCCATTTTTTTATCGCCAAAATTTAAATGTCTAAAAATGTTTTCAGAACCAGATAAATCACGTATATTTCAAAATATAGGATTAAAGTTGTTAGAAATTGAATTAAAAAAAATATAACTCCAGAAAACCTACACCAGGAACATAATGTTACCATACAAAAAAACACTTCGAATAGCTCACTATTTTCAGAATGGGAAGATGGTGAAAATAATGAAGATTTAGACAATAGGCGTAAGTATGAAAAAGAATTGGAAGCTTATAAAAAAGAAAAGTTTGATGTTATCGACGACAATTTGTTAGATTTTTGGAAGCGTCAAAATCACATTTTTCCACATTTAAGTGTATTAGCACGACAAATTTTGGCTATTCCAGCTAGTAGTGCTAGTGTAATAAGCCTGGATGCTTGGTACCTACTATCGTAGTACTGACAGTAGATAAGTGGCAACCAAGTTATTATAATTGCAGGTCGCAGACACTTTCTTTGATGGTGTAGTCGTGGTAGATAATGAATGATAAGACAGATGTAATGTATTGTGAATTTTTATTATAATGTTCGATAATTTTTCTAAGTCCAAATAATATTCAACAGAGTGGCGTGAAGGTGCTTGCACTAATGGGTGGTAGTACACGTCTGAATACAGGTCGATTTGGGCTCCCTTATATATGAGGTCCCCCGTACCCCTTGCCTACATATACGATATCTCGGTTCTCACGGATGTGATTTGTTGTGGACATTTATCCGGCCTACGCATTTACGGCTGCGTGTATTTCTACATTATGATTATTATAAAATAATCTTTTTTTTTACTCTTTTATATTTTGATTTCGTCGTATTCAGTTTTTTCTGTAAAATATTTCATCCGATTATTTTTTAACCCTCGTGTATTTTATGTTCCCTAATCTCCCGGTTATGCCGGTCCACCATATAGTATCATAACTATGCACCTGTGGAATTTGTTACTGTCAAATGTTACTACGCCTAATTCCGAATCCCGATTCATCGTATATTATAATAATAACTATGTACTTATGAAATTGGTATTACTCCGTAGTAGCTGGCTTACTACATCTCCCCCTTTAAAAGTTGATTTTTATCGTCTAAAATGAGAAAAATTAACTCAAACATCCCTCCATTAGTTCAAGCACTTCCATGTGGTTACAAGTTACATATATAAATTATTTCATTACATTCAATTATTACATGTTTACATAATATGTTTGTTACAGATATTTAGTTACATTATTGAATTATATGGTACATTCCACCATATTCTCTGTTTATATTTATTAAATGTTATTGACAAATACAAATTACAATCCACAATATTACAGTATATATTTTACTTATTATCTAGGTTAGTATCTTATGTGATTAACAATATATTTTTTCCGTTTTTGTTTTACAACAATAATCTTATCTTAGTGTTAATATAATATAAATTAATCCTTTAATATAATATGAATTCTTAAAATCTATTACAATATATTTTTTTTTCGTGCAATATATATCTTATATAATAAAACGCTAATAACGCGTATAAGATCCGCGGGGAGCGCTCACGGCACTCCGCGTTTCTTCCATGACGACCAATCACAATACTTCCCGCGCGTTCGCTATAAATTCCGCTCGCTTATCTCCCTTTTCCTTATCGATCCTAATATTTTCGAACATTATTATTATTATTAAAAAAAAACCCGTGTTTTTCAATTTTTTGACGTGATAATAACGTCTTATAAATCGATTACCCCGCGACCGTCCCCCCGACCCATTAAACGAGTAATTATTTTTGACCAAGTATAACTTAGCCGGTATTCGACTTAGAGACCCCGTACCAATGGGCATCTCAATTTTTTAGGCCCCAGATGAATTTTCAACATTAGGGAACCAAAGCCCCCACCCCCCCACATTTTGAGTTGAGTATAACTCGGCCGGAATTCAAGTTAAAGACCTCGGACCAAGGGGGAACCCATTCTTTTTATGAATACTACCGTTTTCCGCTTTAGGGAACGGGGGCACCTCCTCCCCCCCTTTTTGGATTTTGCTTTTTTGATGGATTTTGGTCCGGGAGAGTACTAACACCCACCTCGCCAAGGGGAAACTCGGGGTTTTGAGTTTTTGATAGGATTTATTGGGATTTTCTTAAATATTGATAAGGAAAGTGATAAGAATTTTATTTTATCGCCGCGAGCACGGCGACGCGGCTTAAGAGTCATACATTTGCCTCGGAATTTCATCTGAGTAGTTGGCTAGGTTGGTTAGGCGTTAGGATAAGTGACTCGAGGGTCGTGGGTTCGAACCCGGCCTCTGGGATTTTCGATAATTTGCGCCATCCGTGATTATTTGGATGTTTTTTTTCGAGTTTTTTTTTTCGTCACATTTTTTTTTTTTTGGCAGAAAAATATTAATATACATTAAAGTAGATATTTTAAATTGTAACTAAATTGTATAATGATACTGTACTATTTTATAAATAATAATAATAATACTTGATTTTACAGTGACCAACGCACCTATATGTTTCTTATATAAATACAATATAATATAACTAACCTACATGTAGTACCTACTTGATATATTACAGTTTTTAGGTTAAATACTGTTTAATACGGTATTAATAAACTAATAGATCTAATAGAACTGATTAAACTCTGGCAGTTAAATAGTACGACTATATGACTGCTCTTTTTGCCGTTTTTTTTGAAAATTATAGTTTTAGCCCCTTTCGGTCATATCACCCTCCCCGTCGACTACTTATTCGCGTTCCCTGCTATATTTATAGCCACAGACGAGTCCCGGGGTGGAGTAGTGTGTCGGAAACGAGAGTAGGTACCCGTGTAGGTATCGCTATATACAGGCATATATACGCATGTATATACATGCGCCTCGAGGTTCGATTTTTTTCGCAAATCTCGCGTTTTGAACGTCCGAAGGTGGCGGACACGGTGGTCCGCTCAAACGCCCTTAAGAGTCATAGATTTGACTCCTAATTTCATCTCGGTAGGTGGCTAGGTAGGTTAGGCGTTAAAACGGGTGATTCGATGGTCGTGGTTTCGAACGCCGGCGGGGCCGTGTTAAATCGAATTTCTTTTTTTTGCGTTTTTTTTTTCGTCACATTTATCATTTTTAACGAAAGTGTTAATTTTTTTTTAAATTTGCATTATTATATTATATATATTATTATTATTCGTTTGACGATATTTATTGGGCAAAAAAATAATTATAATTAACATTTACCGACGCACCTACATGTTTCTTTTAATAATACATTATAATATAACTAACCTACGTGTAGTACCTACTTGATATATTACAGTTTTTACGTGATTCCGATTTGGTTAAATACTGCTACAGATTATAAATACTATATTAAAAAATAGTACGACTGTAATATGACTGCTTCATTTGCCGTTTTTTTCGAAAATTCGAGTCCCGGGGTGGAGTAGTGTGTCGGAAACGAGAGTATGTATAGTGTATTCATTTATAGATACCTACGTTTAATAGGATAGTATTACATTTCAATAAAATTTGTTATTCACCAATATAATTATCTATTTGTTAATTTGACTTAATTCTCATAATTAAATAAATATACAAGGTACCTAGGTATATTTTAGAAAATATCCAATCAGAAAATTAGATTTTGTCGACTTATTTGTTATAACCGCGAAAACATAACAATGATTAAATAAATTACAGTGAAGCCTAACATAAAACACCTGATAACTGTTCTCTATAATTATCAACAAAATAATACAATTTTATTACCTCCTGTATACTTTTTCAAATTTGAACGGCCGTTTCGAGCACTTTTCGCTGTAGGCGGATTGTCCGTTCGGGAATCGGATTTCACCCGAGATGACTGATAACTAGACACTCAAACTCAGAATCCGAATTTCCGATTTCAACACACACACACCAGAACCGGACATACACGCCCGGTGCATGGTCTGCGATCCGACGTAGTCGGATTGCCTACCTGACTAGCTACTTGCATACGAGCGACTTACACCCCCACTGCATCTGACACTCGGGAATCGACTTTCACCCGAGATGACTGATAGCTAGACACTCAAACTCAGAACCTGAATTTCCGATTTCAACACACATACGAGAACCGGACATACACACCCGATGCATGGTCTGCGATCCGACGTAGTCGGATTGCCTACCTGACTAGCTACTTGCATACGAGCGACTTACACCCCCACTGCAACCGACACTCGGGAATCGAGATGACTGATAGCTAGACACTCAAACTCAGAGAACCCGAATTTCCGATTTCAACACACATACGAGAACCGGACATACACGCCCGGTGCATGGTCTGCGATCCGACGTAGTCGGATTGCCTACCTGGCTGGCTGTGTCTTACGATCGACTTGAATCGCGTGACTTAAGACTAGACACTCTTCCGAGTTCAAAAATTACCGCTTAACCAGTGCTGCCAACACGACAAAACACAATACCCGACGACCCCCCCTTCCCGACGCAGGCTGGATCAAAAAACCCAGCATCGCCGACAAAGATGCACCACCGCCCACACAGTCTTTCCGCCGTAGGCGGGATGACAAACACTGGAATCTAGTATATGATAAAATAGTGGTGGACTGGTGTGTTATATATTTTTTTTCCATTACCATGTTAATTATATTTTAAATAAATTAGATTAATATATTTCTTTTCCCATCACCATGTTAATTAAGTCCAATATAATATGCTAATATGTTCCTTTATGTATTGTATATTATTCTATAAAGCAATTTAATCCTAAATTTTCCTTTTTTTTTTTTTCATTTTTTTTTCATTTTTTTTTTCTACGTTTACGTTTGTTCCTATATATATATTTTCCATTAATCGTTATATTATTATATTTTATATCTAGTTAATATTACTATTCCTATACTGTGATTTGATTATATCTTTTTACTACAGGTCCCGACCAAGCAAT